CTAGACAGTTTTGACGCAAAGTCAATTGTAGATGGAATAGAGGCAGTGCTACAGTCTCACAATCTAAGTGACCTCATGTGTGTTGCACAAACGTATGATGGAGCAGTGGTGATGAGTGGACCAGTGGGGGGTGTTCAGGCCCGCTTAAGAGAGCGACACCCTGAAGCTGTGTATGTGCACTGTTATGCACATGAGCTCAACCTTGTTCTGTGCTACACTTGCAAGGCTATACCTGAAGCCACCACATTCTTCGATCTCCTTGAAAACATCTACACATTTTTCAGCAACTCTCTTGTCAACCACAACAAGTTTAGAGAGATCCAAAATCAACTGGGATTAAAACCATCTCAACTTGTGGAGCTCTCCAAAACAAGATGGGCTTGCAAGGTGAAGTCTGTCAATGCTGTCTTGAATAACCTCTGGCATGTCTTTGCAACATGAAGACAGCCATGGCCAAAGGGATCCTGGCAAAGCTCTCCAAGCTAAAGACCATCTACCTGCTTGTGATGTTTGCCAAACTCCTTAGCATAACTGAAGGGCTTCATCGGTACCTGCAAGGGGAGAGTTATGACCTGGGTAGAGCGGCTCAGCATAAAATGGCAACTGTTCAAACCCTGACAGATCTCCGCACAAATGCAGGGGCTGAGGATGTGTTTATGAAGGCCAGAACCATATGGGAAGAAAAACCACCTCCAGCTCCCTGTTGGTCCCAGGCAGAAACAAAAAAGATTGGAACAGTTTTTGGTGGAGTCAGCCTATGGGTCAACCTCCAACTCTACCACCTCTGATGATTTCAGACATCAGCTTTTTTATCCTTGTCTGGACCGGATGATACGGGAGCTCACCCATCGGTTTTCAGATGTAGGAGAGGCACTTATGTCAGGCATTCAAGCCTGTAACCCGAACTCATCGACATTTCTTTCTGAAGATGCTCTCAAATGCCTTGCCTTGCATTATAAAATTCAGCTGAAGCCAAAAGAACTCTTTATGGCAAAACATTTCATTATGAGAAGGATGGAGAAAGAGCAAGTCCCTGATGCAGCCACTGTGTTCAAGCTACTTGATGGAGACATGTTTCCCAGTCTGAAGGCGGTCCTCCAAGTGGCCCTGACAATTCCAGTAAGTATCTGCAGCTGTGAACGCTCCTTCAGTGCCTTGCGACGTCTTCACACATGGTTGAGGAGGACCATGGGCCAAGACAGGCTCAATGATCTAGCCATCATGTCCATTGAGAAGGACAACCTGCAAGCTATAACTCCTGATAACATCATTGACAGATTTGCTCAATTGAAGCCACGCCGGCATAGCCTTATGCTGCCACCACAGCAAAATAAGTAAAGACAAAGGAGAGGAAGGAATGAAAGGAAGACAGGAGAGGAAGGAGTGAAGAGAAAGTTAGGGGGAAAATCAACAGAAATGGAAGTCACAAAAATTTGGGGAGAAAGCAAAAGAGGAGAGACAGGAGATGAAAAAGGGTTGAGAATAAAGGAGCAGCTGAGGTGCCAGCCAGGGTCACAGGTAGCCTTCAGTAAGGAAATAGGATGCCTTTTATTGTACTTTATTTTTTTGTTTTATTTTTTTCTTTCAGTGGACGGTGAGACATATGTACCTAAGACTAGACTTAAAACCAGGGGGGACAGGGCGTTCTCTGTTGTTGGTCCCAGACTCTGGATGGCTCTGCCCCTCCATGTGTTTTAAGTCTCGTCTGAAGGCCCACTGTTCTCTGAAGTTGTGTGGTCCTCTGTGTCTTTTACTGTTTTAGCTGATTGTCACATTTTATTGAATTTCTTGTATTATTTTGTCGTTCTTTTGTATAATTTTAGTCTATTTTATGACTTTATTTTTTATGTATTTTATATGTGCAGCACTTTGGTGAACATGTTTACGTTTCAAATGTGCTATATAAATAAAGTAGATTGGATTGAATAAGATGATTCTCCGTGGCTCACTGCTGTGGTAAGTTGAAGTACAAACAAATTGTAGT